AACAACGAAGTCCATGGTAACACGCTCCCATTTCCACTCGGGAATCTCAAGTCTCTGAAGCAACCCACCTGGCCTCCGATGCTCATACTTCACCTGCTAACAATTTAGGCACCGAGCTACATACTCCACTATGTTCTTCTTCATTCTCCCCCCACCAATAATGTTGCCTCAAATCCTGATACATCTTAGCGACGCCCGGATGAATGGAGTATCAAAAACTGTGGGCCTCTTGAACAATCAACTCACGTAATCCATCCACATTGGGCATACATAACCGGCCCTGCATTCGCAACACACTATCCTCTCCGTTAGAAACCTCATTGGCATCTCCATGTTGTACTGTGTCCTTAAGGATGAGCAAATGGGGGTCGTCACGCTGACGCTCTCTGATGCGCTCATATAAAGAAGACTGAGAAACTACGCAAGCAAAAACCCAACTGGGCTCCGAAACATCCAACCTAACAAACTGGTTGGCCAAGGCCTGAACATCCAATGCTAATGGCCTCTTCGCTGCCGGTAGATATCCCAAACTAACCATACTTTCCGTCTTTCTACTCAAGGCATCGGCCACCACATTGGCCTTCCCCGGATGATATAGAATAGTGATATCATAGTCTTTAAGCAAGTCTAACTACCTCCACTGCCTCAAATTAAGGTCTTTCTGTTTGAACAAATTCTGGAGACTCCGATGATCGGTATAGACCTTACATGGGACACGGTACAAATAGTGCCACCAAATCTTCAAGGCATGAACATTAGCTGCCAATTCCAAGTCGTGGACTGGATAATTCTTCTCATGAACCTTCAACTACCGAGACGCGTAGGCGATCACCCTACCATCCTGCATCAACACCATGCCAAGGCCAACACATGACGTGTCATAATACACAATGTAGGACCCCGAATCCATAGGCAACACCAAGACTGGGGCTGTAGTCAAAGCAGTCTTGAGCTTTTGAAAGCTTGTCTCACGCTCCTCGGTCCATCTGAAAGGAGCACTCTTTTGGGTCAATCTAGTCATAAATGCAGCAATGGACGAGAAACCCTCTACGAAGTGACGATAATACCCGGCCAAATCGAGAAAACTCCGAATCTCAGTAGCTGAAGACGGTTTAAGCCAACTTTGCAGTGCTTTAATATTTTTCGGATCTACCTTGATCCCCTCACTCGACGCCACATGACCCAAAAATGCCACTGAATCAAGCCAGAATTCACACTTTAAGAATTTTGCATACAACTTCTTTTCTCTCAAGGTCTGGAGCACATCCTCAAATGATGTTCATGATCCTCCCGGCTGTAGGAGTACACCAAGATGTCGTCAATAAACACAATGATGAATGAATCAAGATATGGCTGGAATACAATATTCATCAGGTGCATAAATGCTGCTGGGGCGTTGGTCAGCCCAAATGACATCACAAGGAACTCGTAATTATCATACCGAGTCCTAAGGGCAATCTTTAGGATATCCGGATCCCAGATCTTTAGTTGATGATACCCTGACGGCACATCAATCTTCGAGAACACTCTAGCACCCTATAACTGATCAAATAAGTCATCAATGCGCGGTAATGGGTACCTGTTCTTCACTATAACCTTGTTCAACTGCCGGTAATCAATACACATGCGCATAGAACCATCCTTCTTATTCACAAACATAACCGGAGCACCCCAAGGTGACACTCTAGGCCAAATGAAAGCCTTATCAAGCAACTCCTACAACTGCTCCTTTAATTCTTTTAACTCCATTGGGGACATACGATATGGTGGAATAGAAATGGACTGAGTGCCCGACAATATGTCAATACCAAAATTGATATCTCTATCGGGCAGCATCCCCGGGAGATCTGTTAGAAATATATCTAGGAAGTCTCTCACTACCGAAACTGACCGGTAAGAGTATCAACAGCGACATCTCTCACAAAGGCTAGATATGCATCACACCCCTTCTCAACCATCCGATATGCCTTAAGGAAGGACACAACCTTGCTAGAAATATAATCCAATGTACCCCTCCACTCTAAGCGCGACAAACCTGCCATGGCCAGTGTCATAGTCTTGGTGGACAGTTCAGAATAACATGATAGGGCGACCCCAGTCCATGTCCAAAATGACATCAAAGTCTACCATACTGAGCAACAATAGATCAACTCTGGTCTCAAAACCACCAATAACAACTAAACATGACCGATACACACAGCCCACAACAATAGAATCTCCCACAGGCGTGGACACATACACAGGAGAACTCAAAGAATCACGAGATATACCCTAATACGGAGTAAAGTAAGATGGATACATATGAGTAAGTGGAGCTTGGATCAACTAAGACTTATGCATCTCTATGACAAACCAGAACCTGTGATAACTGCGTTTGATGCAACCGCCTTCGTCCTACCGAGAAAAGCATAGCATCTGGCCTGGCCTCCCCCTCTAGGGTGACCCCTACCCGCCTGACCTCCACCCATAGCTAGCTACCCAGATGGAGCGGCAACTGGAGCAGCAACTACGACCTATGAAGTCTGTGGACCCTATGGAATACGTGGAGCCTAAGTAGTCTGTAGAGATGCACCCCTCATGAGCTTGGGGCAGTCCCTCACCATATGAAGGGTATCACCACACTCAAAGCAAGCTCTCGGTGGGCGTGGCTGCTAAAACTGGCTCGGGCCTGGTCGACTGGACTTACCGCTGAAAGCACCCCATGTAGAAGGTGCACTTGATAGTGGCGGTGCATAATGGACAACCTGAGACTTGGAAGTAGCCGGAGCACCATTAGAAGTTAGAAGTGCTGAATGAACTGAACGTCTCACATAGCCCCTGCCATGATGGGTTGTGCTGCAGCGTGGCCACCACTAAATCCTCCAGTTCCTTGAGGCCTTTTGGCCTCCCTGTCCTCTCTCTCATGGCCCTGTATACCCTCCAACCTCCGCGCGATCTCTACCACGTGCTGATATGGGGTATCTATCTCTAAATCGCGAGCCATATTGAATCTAATACCATAATTGAGCCCCTCGATAAATCGACGGACTTGCTCTCACCGTAGAAACCAAGGCAGGTGCATGCCTGGACAACTCATTGAATCTGACAGCATATTCTGATATTGTCATAGTACCCTGGCACAACTACTCAAACTCTGCGCACCATGCATCCCAAAGGCTCTGGGAAACACACTCTATCAAGAACGTCTCTGAAAACTGAGCCCATGTGAGTGAAGTTGCATCGGTTGGGCTTCCCTCCTCGTAAGCCCGCCACCACTGATACATTGTTCCTGATAGCTGGAATATAGTAAAAGCAACCCCGCTCGTTGATAAGTTGGGATTTTGACTACTTACTAGCACCTTTTTGCTTTTGTTTTAGTCCGAAAGTTTTGATTTATGTTCCCGAAACTAATGAAATTGTGCAAATTGTAGGAATGTTAGAAGTTTGGTCGCCCATGATGAATTCAGACCCAAAAAGGAGTGTTCCGAATCACAAGACAATAAAGGGCGCAGAAGCAAAGAAGTGCGGTCTGCAGAAGGATTTCTGCGACGCAAAAGAAAGTGCGGACCGCAGAATTCCATCTGCGACAGCAAACCAAGTAAAAGCACCCAGCAAAACTTTGGCCAATGTGCAGACTGCGCATGAATTGTGCGGGCCGCAAAACAGGGTTTTTATTGATAAATAATTTCAAGTTCAGAGAGTGTGCAAAAGACCAAGTCCTGACGCCTTGCTGAAGTGCGGACCGCACAGGAATTTGTAGCCACTGAAGATACTTCGCAGCCGCAATCCAAAAATGTGCGGCTGCAGAATCTGAGTTCTTGCCAACTGAAGAAATCTGCGGACCATACATGGAATTGTGTGGCCGCAACCTCCCGAGGGGCATTTTTTTCAGCCAATTTTGGGCCACTATAAATAGACGAGTTTCACATTTTTAGGTCATGTTTCGAAGTTTGAGTTCCTGTAGCCATTATATTTTGCCATCTTAGGAAGTTTGTGACTATTTTAGTGTTTAAATATTATCTTTTTTCATTTTAATCTTTTATTATGAGATTAGCTTTTCTTTTTTATTTTCTTCAATTCCCACCGTGAGTAGCTAGTTTTTACTAGGATTGTGACCCAACCCTAATGTGTAAACCTTAGGGGTATTTAATTTAATGCTTGTTTATGATTGGATGTTGATTATTTAGCTTAGTTCATGCTTTAATTTTAGAATTAATGGTTGCAAACATTGATTAATGTCTTTTTGACTTAGTCTCTACTTAAGAAAGATGGACCTAGTCTAAGATAACTTGGCTAACAAGTTAGACTAATTGAGAGTTTGATTAGCCTGGTTAAATGGTTCAAACTAGAGATAGTAAGAACCCGACTTGAGCTCATATCAACTATTTTATATGATACTCATTTGGTCTTGAGAAAACCAAATTGCAAAATCACTCTTTGACCGAGAGGTATTGAGTAGTTATTGTAGACATGTAATTTTTGACCCTCCCTGAAATTTTACAACTTTTAGTGCTTAGATATTAGTTTTAGGTCTAATAGTATTATTTTCACTATTTTTTTAACTTTTTTTTTTACTTTATCTTATCTTAAAGATGAAAATTATAAAATATTTTCCTCTATTTTAGTTAATTAACATTTTTGTCAAGCAAATTTTAAGTTTATCTTATTTGTGAAAATTGAAAATCACAAAAATAGTCACACGATTTGAGGTTTTACTACACTAGTATTAACTTTATTAGGTAGTATTATTATAATATATTTTTAAAAGAAAAGATAGTAAGTATTTTCTTAGCCTAACTAGTTTTCGTATCTTTTGAGTTTTATGGTATCATTTTGAGTTATTCTTATAGTATTATTTAAGTTAGTGTTATTTTAGTCTTGTTTGCATACTTTGGCTCTCGTTTTGTTTTGTTGTGTGTCTAATTGATCTACTACTATCTCATTATCTTTTCAATTTGTTAGTTGGGTTTATTTTGACTTTTTAAAGTTTTCTTTAGGTAATTCAAAAAGAAAAGCTCGTGAGTTTTGTTTCTTTCTCTAACAAATTACACCTCACTACACTCCGCCTCACTCCCACACCTCACATGATTGTCACAAAATTACTGATACACACTTCACAATTAGAAGAGGGGACAACACATCTTTTGAGATTTTCTTGGAACTTCCTCTCCAAGCAATAATTCCATTTCATATAACATGATTTTGACATTGAGAAAGGGCCTAGAAAGAATTAGGGACAGAGAATTGAGGGCACATATAGAATAGAACAGAGGGAGGCGAAAAGAAAAAAAAAAAAAAAACCTAGAGCCGCCTACTTCATCTTCTCCTAAATAATACTAGTTCCCTGTTTGATCCATTATGATAACCATGTAAATCCTTCATTCAACACCATCTTCCATAAACCTTTAAAGCCACAAATAGTTTCATCCTTATGAATTTTATTTTTCATTCTCTCATCCACATGTAAATCACACATGCACCCTCCTCCCGTTCTTTCACTATTGAGACAGCCCAATTCCTCTAACCACAATCACAAAATACACTATTTCCAACAACTTCTGTTCTTAGCCAGATCTAAACAGAGGGGAAGGTTCAATTTCGAGGTCAGAGTCCGAGGTTCGGTTCGAGGTTCAGGTGCAGATCCTGTCGCCGACTTCATTTTCCGATTGAGGTCGTGTTTCCCAATCAAATTTTCTGAGATAATAGAGGTCTATCTCTTCTTCTCCCTCTGTTTTGTTTCGTTGTTCTTATATGATGGTTCAATGAAAAGATTTATGTGAATTCTTGCTTGCTTGTGATATCTTGAGGAATAATTTCTGCTTTAAATTGAAATTGCATTATTTGATTTATTGGATACTAGTGACCACCGTTCAGTTTGCATGTTCATCTTGATTCACATGCTTAGATTTTAGCCTTGAAGATAATTAAAATGGAAAGAAGCATGGATTGTTAGGATGGTGCGATGTTAAAGGTTCTGTGAAGATTTAGAGTTGTGGTTTGCGTTCCTTGGTGCTTGTCATTACATTATGCTTCGATTTTCATTTTTAATTCCTTTTATTTAGTCACTGATCTTGCTTGCTGGTGCCCGTTTATTACTAACCACGAAGTTGACTCCACCTTTAAACATTAGTTTGATGTAATGTTAGTGGAAGAATTGGATTTGGGTCTTGGTTAATAACAAGAAAGAATTTGAGATTAAGAAAGTTTATGTTATTCTTGTTTTATTTCTCTTTTTAATTACTCGGATCGTTAGGAGCATATTTTAGGCCGACCACATTTGGGAAAGAAAATCTTTAGGACGTGTGTGTTTTAATTACTCGAGCCTCTTCTGTGTTTATTTTCCTTTTTTGTATTTTTACCTCAATTTGAATATTTTAAAAGCCAACTAGATCAAGTATGCAACCGTATTAGTTACGGGACTCGGGGAATGCCTAACACCTTCTCCCCGAGTCAAATGAACCCCCTTACTTGGAATTTTTGATGCAAACTGGTTTTAGAGTTTAAATGTGTTTTAAAAGGAAAAATCTTCGTTTTTGAAAATGGTGACTTTGTACGCCGAAACCAAATATCAAATGGCGACTCTGAAAATCCTTTTGAAACACAATCTTTGTCATTTTCAAATTGAAAACCCTTCGAGCTTTAAAAACTACTTTTTATCTCTTTTAAAAGGGGTTAAAAGAGGTAAAAAGGGGTGTGACAGGTAACGTTGAGCTGAGAGCTATAATACACCCCAATCAACAAAACAAGTATTAACGTATTTAACACATTAGACGAACATTTAGGTTATGGTCACATCCCTAGGCTTTTTAACTATTTGGAAAAATACCAAAAACAATCGTTCATTTCTAGTTTCTTTCCCTTAGCTTACAATTATTAAAGTAATAGTAGAAGTAGAAATCAAAACTTTTTGTGGAAGTGCAAATTGAGTTGATCCATTCTCTTTATAACTCCCTTTGGATTCGACCCAACTCGTAGACGGGTAAATTATATTCCATGCAATCGTATATATTTGAGTAATTTTAGGTATTATCATGGTGGGAAACAATGATCTCTGAATTATGCCTTTGGGGAATGTGGACGGCGAGGATGGGAAAGTCGAGGAGGTACCTCTCGAACCTCATGCCAATCGAAGAGTCCGGGTGCATAAGGGCTAGGCATATATCGGGTAAAACCGATAACCCTAACCGTTAGTTGTTTATTGGGTTATCGGTATCGGGTTATTGGGTTAACGGTTCGGTAACGATTTGGAATTTTTTCACGATTGGGTTATCGGTTCGGGGTGTGGTTTGCCAATTTTGTTAACGGGTTAACCGATAACCCAATAAGAATTAATAAAATTATGACTTTACCCTTAAGTGTATATATATATATATATATATATATGCTAGGGCTTCAGTTCATTCTCTCCTATTCTTTCTCAGCCGCACTCTTCAGTTGCTTCATCTTCATTTGTCATAGACCTTACTAGTTACTCCTAGCGTAAGTCTTTAGTCTTATATATTAGGCTTTTAATTTCTATAACAAAATTCATCTTCATATTGGTATTTTTGACTATTGATGCTTCTTTATTTTTTTTATTTTTATTTTTTAATTTTGTGAGCTCACGTTGTGCAGCCTATACCTACTACTAATTTCTCTTCGCACTTATCAATTTTCAATCCACAATCTTCGTCAGTTTCGGGTGTATTTGAACATTATTCTTCTGTACAGTACGCTGAGCTTTGACAACAGGACAATATTTTCTTGCCTTCTAGGTGTTTTTCATTTCTGTGTTAGTATTGCTCATGCACACATCAAGGTTTTGCTCTAAGGTTTCTTTTTTTAGGTTAGGCATTTGACAAACAACATCCAATTTATCTTGGACTCTTAGTACTATATGTTTGGACTTGTTAATTTTAAGGTGAAATTGCTACTACTTTGTATTATTATTAATGTATTTGAACAACTGTTGTTGAAGAATTAGTACTATTCCAGTTGTGGCCACTGGACAGAACGTATAAATGGGTAGTATACTATGTGTGAATTCTTCTCTTTTTTACTTAACTCTACTGAATGGTCTTCTCTTTTTTGCTTAACTCAAGATTGAGTTATCTTATCGGGTAAACCGATAACCGAACCGATAATGATCAACAATCAATTAATCGATAACCGATAATCGATAATCGATATCTTATCGGTTCGGTTATATAATCAAATTTGTAAACCGATAACCGATATGCTAAACCGATAATATTTATAACCGGACCGAACCGATCGATGCCCACTCCCGGTGCCTCATGATAATGTACCCGCTCCACCCCCACCTCCACCATGAGCGGCTCCACACCGGATATTGATCAATGAAGGTTATGCTAGTGCAATAGTCCCTCCCCGCATTAGGGCAAACAACTTCCAAATAACCAATGTGATGCTCACTTTGCTTGAGCAACGGAGATTCTTCACCGGTGCTCCAACACAAAATGCTTATTAACATTTGAAGGGGTTTGTGGACACTTGTTGGGGGAGCAAGCGAACTCTCTGAGGATGCATTAAGGCTAAGGCTTTTTCCCTTCTCTCTACGGGGAAAACCTTTAGATTGGTTGGAACGATTACCGAACCATTCCATTCACACTTGGGATGAGTTGGCGGAAAAATTCATTGCTAAGTTTTTCTCTACGGGACACATAGCTACACTTCGAGATGAGATTTTGGCATTCAAGCAAGATCCAAATGAATCACTACACGAGATATGGGAGTGCTATAAAATAATGGTTAAGGGATGTCCCAACAACGATATGACAGAAAACATGATTCAACAAACCTTCCATCGTGGGATTAACACAACTAACCAATGTGTAGTGAATTAACTTGCCGATGGGAACTTTATGACTATGCCTTATGTGGAGGCGTGTGAGATTTTGGATGAGATGGTGAAACGTCATTGGCTTGGCAATCTCGGGCCAATGTTCCACAAGGTGACCCGAGTATGATCCACCTTCACAAAGAATTGCAAGACCATGGGCAAGCCATTGCCGAATTGACAACCACCATGACTCAACTAGCAAAGACCCAACTTAATCAAGTGCAAGCTCCTAAGCAAGTCAATGCTATGGAAGGAGTGAACATGATGGTGAACAAGAGAAGGACCAAGGGTCCACAAGTTCAAGATCAAGTGGAGAACTATGTGCAAGAAGATGGTGATTTTGAGCAAGATGATTCCTATAATGAACAACAAGAAGAAGTGCAATATGTGAACAATTTTTAAGGGCAAAAAAGAAATAATTTTCAAGGCCCAAGCCAACAACAATGGCGACCTCAAAACAATCAAGGCAATTGGAATTCTAACAATCAAGGAAATTAGAGTGGAGGCGACAATCAAGGGAATTGGCATAACAACAACAATCAAGAAAATTGAAGTGGAAATAATCAAGGAAATTGGAGTGGAAATAACCAAATAAATTGGGGGGGAGGAGGAGGACG